CACCACCACCAGCACCACAACCAGCAGCAGCAGCAGCAGCAGCAGCAGCAGCAGCAGTAGCAGCATGACGATTTCGACTCATTAGTATTTACCATTGCTATATACTATCATTACCTTTCACCATTACTACTTACCATTGCTATTTACTACCGTTATTATTTGCCATTACTGTTTACCACTATTACCGCCTACTTTTGCTAATCACTATTAAACTATATGCTGTTTCTGCACCATTGGGGATTCCTGGGCTTCAAGCCCACAGTCTAAATCCCTGAACGCTTCTAAGAGTGTACATCCTGTTGGGACTTTTAAGCGCTCGCTGTAAGTAGGGGTGTTTTTTGTCGAATTGGGTTGCATGATAGTAACTTATTATGTTTAACGGCGGAAGAACGGACCGACTACTGTCAGAAACTCATTGAAACCAAGGCCAGGGCTCTGAACCACATGAGCTATAGTCTAAAGTCCTTGAAAGGGATCATATAGGGGATTAGACAGTACTATAAAGGTATTAAGCGGGATGCTTGTAGTTCAGACTATAGCTCATATGCCAGTATCTCAACTCACGAACTCAGCATCACTAAGTGCGTTTGAATTTGAGAGCTCCCCCCACATCACCAAGGTCACAAACTTTTGGACGATGGTTTTTGGCACAATGTGGGCGCTTTTACTGCTTCACATCTTCTACGTTGAGGCAAATTGCTGATCATCGCCTGGGGTTTAGGGTTCAAGGAGTAGGGATCCGGGTTTCTGCAGTATAGGCTGTAGGGATTCCATGTCCCTAGAGGGGCACTATTTTGAGAATCCAGCCCCTTCATTTTTTCTGGTGGCAAGATCCGATACTCATAGAAAAGTCAAAAGAAAGCCTGCAGGTCCTGGCAAGGGTCCGGGCTACAGACGCTATCTGAACATGTTCTTGCACAGGAAGCTTAAATAGAAAGTCCTCATCTCACTTTGATTGAGGAAGGCACTTTACATGGCACTAAGATCGATTTACATGACTTATGGTATGATCGTTTCCTGGGTTAAGGGTACGTTTGCAAGCGTGAGGAGGGCTTTGCGGTGGATTGCGGAACGGCGCATGGGGGTTTCCCAAAATTAGGGGCACCATTTGGGTGTCCTTATAAGAAGGACTATAGTATGTTGGGGTCCCCTTATTTGTGGAAACTACCATGTTACATGAAACCTCACCCGAAGTATCAACTAGTCAGGTCATATAATCCAAGAGCAGCCTAGCCAAAGACCCAGGTTGGGAAAACCCAAGCTTTGACTAGGTAAAACCCTATTTTCTTGTAACTATCATGAGTTGGATAGCATTGCTGTTTCCGAAATGCCGACCTCGTCCATGTCAAAGCTTACATCCCTAAACCATCCCGGTTTCCATGTTCTTGTCTGTCTGCTTTACCACTTGATTCTCCATCATTCTAACCTTGAACCTTCATTTCTGTACACAACCCAGAAAATTCCAAAAAAGAAGGCCTGTATAACCCTATATCCCCCTGGAGAGGGTCAGTAGCTAAAAGCCCTTTCTTCGCAGGTGAAGGAGATCGCGATCATCCTGATCAATGCAGATCAGGTTTGGTACATGGCACTCCTGGAGGACCCTTTGTTTACGGTTTAGGGTTAGGGTTTAGGGTTTAGGGCGATATTAACAGCCTCCTCCCCCCTGCGGACCCAAATAGCCCAATGTAGGTAATATTTACAGACTTTAGGGCCCAATGTAGGTATTGTTTGTATACTTGGGTCCCTTGGGCCCCAAACTGTTGAATACTCCGGGGCCTGAAAAATTGCCGAGTATTAGAGAGGGATCTTTACTCAAGAAATCAAGGAACTAGATAGTGCTGGATAGTGCTCCCTCCAATATCACTTAAAAGCCACCGAGTGAATAATGACATCATTCGTTCAGTAATTACCCTAAGGGTCCAAGGACCCAAATAATAGGGCTTTAGGGCCCAAATACTATTCATATTAATGGTCTTTGGGCCCTAAAGCCC